AGGCTACTTGTCGCGATATCATTGCTCAGAGGCGTCAAGCTAACGGCAAAAAGATACCCAACGACCTCCTCGATGCTATGCTCAACGGCAAGGACCCGGAGACTGGTGACTCTCTGAGCGAAGAGGCAATCGTACACAATATCATCACTTTCCTGGTCGCCGGTCACGAGACTACTTCAGGTCTTCTGTCTTTCGCCATCTACTACTTGGTAGAGCATCCCCAGGAGTTGAAGAGGGCACGGGAGGAGGTGGACAGGGTCGTGGGTCATGGCCCAATCAATGTGGACCATCTTCAGCAACTCCCCTTTTTGGACTCCGTCTTCCGAGAGACATTACGTCTTATGCCCACAGCGCCTGGATACTATGTTACCCCATTTAAGGACGAGATCATCGGTGGAAAGTATCTGGTTAAGCCAGGTGAGGCTTTGTGTGTTCTCCTGCACACACTTCACCGTGATCCCAAAGTTTGGGGTTCCGATGCGGAAGAATTCAGGCCTGACAGGATGAGAAACCTGGAAGACATCCCTCAGAATGCCTGGAAGCCTTTCGGCAACGGTATGCGTGGTTGTATTGGTCGAGCCTTCGCTTGGCAGGAGGCCCAACTCGTAAGTCGCCCAATCCTTCAGATCCTGACTTTTTTCCTCATGTTCCTGGTGGCTCACGACTGTTGTAGGTTATCTCAATGATTTTGCGCAACTTCGACCTTTCTAAAGGCGACCCCGACTACAGACTCAAGGTCAAGCATCTTCTCACCATCAAGCCCGCCAACTTCAAAGTTCGTGTCAGCTTAAGAAATGGCAAACGCCCGACGGACTTCCTGAAAAGTCTGAAAACGATTCCGAAGCCCATGCCGAAGCCCATTGCCAATCCTACGGTGATCAGCCCTTCGTTGCTCGGCCCAATGACCATTCTATTTGGTTCAGATACAGGCACCTGCGAGGCAGTGGCTCAGAGAATCGCCGTTGAAGCTGGGTCAAAGGGATACAACCCAGTAGTCATGCCTATGAATGACGCAGTTGATCAGCTACCGCAAAATCAGCCTGTCATTCTTGTCTCTGCTTCCTATAACGGGCTTCCGTCTCGCAACGCAGCCATGTTTGTGCCTTGGGTTCAAGGTCTCAAGCTCGGAGACTTGCAGCATTTGAAGTATGCCGTTTTTGGTTGTGGTATGTTCTAGTTCCCGCAGGCCCCTGAAGATACGCACTGGTGGCTTCGTATTCATACACAAACTGACGATAAGTTTCACAGGTCACAGAGATTGGCCAGCGACTCTATTCAAAGTTCCCAGGTCTCTTGATTCGATTCTTGAAACAGCCGGAGGACAGAGGCTGTGCACACTGGGAGTCGCAGACACAGCAGCTACTGATGTCTTCTTCGAAGTTGAGAAGTGGCTGATGAACGACTTGTGGCCAATTCTCCTGGGATATCCTACCATGAGAGCGACCAGGCCAAAGTCGGATATCGATGTGGAGCTCACGCTTGAAGATCCCCCACGGGTTACTTTGCGCAGTGGCTTTGTTGCAGCCACAGTCAGAAATTCCCTAGCTTTGTCGGCCGAGGGAGTCCCAGCAAAGAGACATCTTGAGCTAGAGCTCCCACCTGGGACATCTTATGAGGCTGGTGGTCACGTTCACATCTTGCCGGTGAATAATGCACAGCTAGTGCGCCGAGCTCTATCGTATTTCAGGCTGAGCGGCGATGTTGTCCTCACGATTCAGTCTGAATCTGGACGCCCACTCCCGGTCCCAAGCAATACCCCTGTGACAGCATGGGACCTGTTTGCATCTTATGTCGAGCTGACAGGTGCGGCAACTCCTGGAAATATTCAGGTAATGAGTGAGCTGGCAGTCTCAGATGAGACCCGCAGAGCCTTAGAGACCTTGTCAAAAAGCTTGCCTAGCTCGGAGCCGCACAATAGGGGCCTCAGTGTCCTTGAAGTACTGGAGTCTTATCCGGATCTCAATCTCCCGCTTTCGGAGTTCCTGATCATGTTACCTCGGATGCGTCCTCGTACATACTCTTTCTCCTCTTCCCCTGCTTGGCAACCCAATTCCGCCACCCTTACTTACACTGTTGAGAAAAATGGTGTAGCTTCGAATTACTTGGCTTCACTCCGCTCAGGAAGTGTACTCTTCGTTTCACCCTTGCCGTCAACACCTCACTTCTGCCTTCCAAGCGCAGCGACTCAAGCAACGACGCCGGTCATCATGATTGCTGCGGGGGCTGGTCTAGCCCCGTTCAGAGGCTTCATACAAGACCGCGCAATCTCACTACGTTCCGGTGCTACGTTGGCGCCGGCGCTTTTGTTCTTCGGCTGCCACGGACAGCTTCTTGATGACATGTATCGAGATGAACTCGATGAATTCGAGACTGAAAATGCTGTCAAAGTCTTCCGCGCCTTCAGCCGAGACGGAGATATGTCATGCAAGCATGTAACTGATCAGCTTCGGGACCATCTAGGGGAAGTCTCCGCTCTGTGGGAAGCAGGGGCAAAGTTATATGTATGCGGTGGAAAGAAGATTTCGGATTCTGTGTTCGATGTCCTTCGCATCGCCTTGTTCAAGGATGAGGAAAATACAGGGAAAGAGGCAGGTGCAGCGAATAATGTCCAGAAGTCCTTTGGTATGGCTCCGAAGAGCAGATACGTTGTAGATGTGTTCAATTGAGTAGATTATACTGCTCGTTTTCTTCATACTTTCCAATGCTAAGGCCTATTAATCTGACAGGGCTATTGCGCGCAACATGACGTGCCACAATCAATGTAGCATGGAGGAGAACTGTTTGAAGGTCCATCAGTATCTACAACCGTGGATGTTCATAAGCCTTCGTAGAGGCGACCCATTTCCTTTGCAAATTATGTACTTCGTTTGCGCTGATCTGAAAGAATGACATCAACTCTCAGTTTCTCATAGCCTTCCAATGCTCAGTCGTACGTTCTGTCTAGCTGACCGATCATCCGAAGACCTGCGCCCTTCATCTGACTAGCGCCCTGCCGCCGATCCGCCATGACGCCTTTTACTCGACAAACTCATACGTCAGCAAAAGTAAATGCACACTACTTTCGAGATCCTGCCTAATCAAGGCCAATTCATAGATATAAGCACGAATCCTCATCTAGTCCTTGTCGGATTTCAACTGCTGTCATAAACTCCCGGCCAATAATACTCAATAACTCGTCTCAACCAACACCCATTCTAATATCATCTTAGGCTCCGCATACCACCATGTCTAGTCTCCTTCAGCCCGTTGTTGTCGGGAACAAACTCCATCTATCCAATCGCGTGGTTATGGGTTCTATGACACGCAACCGCTGCGTGGATAACTGCAAGCCAGGCGGTGAACAAATTCAGCATTACTCAGAACGAGCGAAACATGGCGCAGGACTTATTATCGCAGAAGGCACTTTCATCGACTGGCAAGGCTGTGATTGGAAGTGGGCACCTCTCATGATCACCGAGGATCATGCGCAAGCATGGAAGAAAGTGACGACGGCTGTACATACGCAGGGTGGGAAGATTTACTTCCAGCCATGGCATCTTGGTGAGTGAAACCACAGGAGACGTAACGACTTGAAGTCCCTTACATTTGACTATCTAGGTCGCTGCCAAAATGAACAGATTCCTATTATGCAAGCAAAGAATCATCCGGTGTTTGCACCCTCCAAGATCCCGGCTCGAGGGGGCAAATACCGTGATCTTCCTGGCACTCCGGTATAAGTCTCACGACGTTCTAGAAAATTCTATTGACTAATCTACTTTGTTTCAGGGGCACACTCATAACATCACTGAAATTGAAAATCCGCGCGACTTCGTCAACATGTATCGACACTCTGCCATCCTCGCTAAAAGGGCAGGTTTCGACGGTGTTGAGCTCTTGGCTCAAGGGTAAGCGCCGGCGTAGTCATGGCACGATACCTCGCTGAATATGATGAAGATCACTGACACATGCGCAGCGGATATCTTCCCCAACAGTTTCTCAACTCGTAAGTGCCCCTGCCCAATGTTTTTCATTGTGGTATCACGCTGACATAGCGAAAGACGCGCGAACATCCGCACCGATGCGTACGGCGGCTCTGTCGTGAACCGGTGCCGATTCATCCTGGAGGTGTCGGATGCTCTGGCCGAAGTGTTCGGTTCCGAGTTCGTCTGTATCAAAATCTGTCCGACAGATCAGACAAATGACTCTGTCGTGACTTATGAAGAGATGAAGGATGTTTATACCCACCTTATCAAAGAGCTTGTCAAAAGGCGGATTGGCATCATCAATCTTTCGCGGCGCGGTGCAAATCACAATACAGGAACAGGAGATTTCTTTGGGAACACCGCACGGCCGGATGGCTTCCCTTTACCACTGGGTTACGATCCGGTTATTGACTTCGGACCTTTAGTCAAGTTTTCCGGAAGTCCTTCGATGCTTATGGCCAACTACGATTATACAGTCGACGAGGCGAATCGTCTGGTAGGAGAAGGCAAATCGGATTTGATCACGTTTGGCCGGCCCTTCATTTACAACCCAGTGAGTGTCTAATTCAGCGCGAATTCCAGGCTCCGTTCTGACTTTATCACAGGATGTCATCTTTCGAATTCAACATAGCATTCCTTTTGCAGAGAACAATCGAGGCAATAACGTTCATTACGGACCATTTGAGGAACCAAATCAAAACTATAATGATTGGCCCATTGCTGCTGCTTAGGCATCTTTGTGTTTCTGCAGGCTGTACTGGTAATCCTGAGAGCTATGATCACTTGGTGGGGAAGTTTTACGAATTGCGCATACAAACATGGGGGAAGGGATCTCGAGGTTTACTAGGTAGTCGTCGGAATACATCGGAGCAAATTTGGTGTGGTCAGAGATTCGATGTTCTTTTTACCAAAATGCTAATGCTCAAGCGTTATGCCCCTTTTTCAATTGACCCCTCCGGCCTTTGTTCATGTAAATATTTCAGACCATCATTTCGTGTCTTCATCAAGGTAATAGCAAATCATGAATACGCCTCTGTCTCACGCCAGCTGGAGATACGACTGGCGATGACCAACCAATTCTTCAACGCTCGAGGTGGCGGGCATATCTTTGGAACAACCCCCCGATGTAGCTTTGGTAGTTCTCTCAAGCTCTTTCAAAGCACGGAAGCCTCCTCGAACACTATCAGCCTCAAAGCCCTTTGCACGCAGGACACTGGTCGCTACCCTGGCGCTGTCGCCGTCGTAGCACAACACTAGAATAGGCTTCTGTCGATATTCTTCCAACTCTTTGCCGACGTCTTTGTTCGAGTCAAATGTCGTCTCAAGCTTGAGCCATAGTTGTTCCAGAACCTTTGAGTCGGAGAACGGTTTCCAGTCACTGGACTCGACGATCGGAATATTTTCGGAACCTGCGACATGGTGCATCTGGTAGTCTTCGGATTGTCTCAGATCGAGAATGATCGTGTTTGGAAGGCGGGGGATAAGTGCAGCACTACTCGTATCGACATAGCGTGGTGTACTCGGCAAATGGGTCTCGTTGGTCCGGATAGCACCTGCAGACGGAATTTGCATGAAGACTTCAGTCGCAGTCTTTTCCCATGCCTCATCGTAGCGGTGAAGGTCAACCTTTGTAAGGTTCTAAGAGAAAGGTCAGTCTTCTATTTGAGTATATCATGGAAAATGTGATCGTCCATACCTCGTTGTGGATTGCAGGAAAATGCTCAGGTCCCAATTTCGCAAAGTACTCATCGATGTACTGGTAAGGCAAATCGCAGCAGACAAAAACGCAGTGGATCTCGCCAGAATCGTCGGCTAGTTCATTCAGATTGCCGGCCGCGATACGCTTATCAAGGAACTGGTAAAGGCCTTGCAGGTTGAAACCTGAAGACGGGCCGGCGATGAGGCCTTGTCTGCACAGGTCCAGCGAGAGCGAATAGGAGTGTTGAGAACCGACATGCTCAACGTGGTCGACTGCGGATCTCCATGGAAACTCTACTGGTTGAAGAAGAGCGTAGGATCGGGGGCCAGGAACACGATCGCCAGGCGCGGTGCAGACACCCAGCCGGTATACTGACGGCTTAGCCTGCTTGAAGTAGGTTCCAAGACCAGTTAGAGTGCCTATTAGTATGTTAGGCGTTGTCGACGAGACGGAGTTGACATCTTTCCTACCAGAAGTACCCATTCCTGCGCAAATGAGAGAAATCTGGGGCAGTTGCTTGAAGATTTGGGGTCCAGTCCACCGCACATGAGACTTCCAATTCTACCAAAATTTGTCAGTGCCTCCTCATCACTGATAGGCGCTAGGTTACACCTACATCGTCATTTTCGTATTGGTTTGGGTTGAGCGCAGTGCCCTTATCGCTGCCCATGTTTCTTGCGGCACAAATGCCTCCTCGTGGGTCCAGAGGCTCAGGTTGAGAAGGGCCACCAAACAGGGTACTAACGACCAAGTAGTCAGCTATGCTGTTCATGGATCACCGAGCACCTAATGATAGAGGCAGAATATCTTACATATCCAGTCCGAAGAACTGCATCAACCTCAACTTCGCTTGACTAGTCTTGTTGCTGAGAAAGGCCCGCACATCTGGCACATCGTAGTAGACTCTGGAAGCCAATGACATAGAGATGACCGTCGAGCCGGAACTGTACTCGACGATGGTCTCTGTCTTTCCTGGTACAACCCCATTCTGGAGCAGATTGAGTGCTGGCATAGCCTTGACGTTATTCGCAGGATGCATCGACATCATCTTGGCATAAATCCGGACGCCATGCTGACGATAGGGGTTCAAGGCTTCAGGTACCTCGACTAGTGGCAGAGGCGGGGCAACATCAGGATCGAAATAGTTCCTGACGGAATCTGGCCCTGTATAGACATTTAAGTGATTGGGTTGGGCCATTACTTCTGATTTTCCTTCGGAGGACTTTGGGAAGAATTATGAAACAAAGAAGGGTGATGTCGAACGGCACTGATTATCAGATGGTCTCATTATCGGAGACTGCGAGTGCTACTTTATAGTCTCTATTGCTCTCGGACTACCTGACCCATCGTCTGAGGGGTCAATGGAAGAGAGAAATAACTCAGCTATACAGCTCAAGTTATGATTCGACAGCATCGCTTGATCATCCTCCCAGGCGCGGCCACTCTTACACGCCGCGTATACCCGCGGTCAGTGGACCGTCATCTGGCAATGTAACTCTGCTGTGACATTTTTAGAGGGTAACCATGAAATCAAGACGTATGAAACTCGGCCTGTCAGTAATTTCGGGCATCCTTCCTGCTCGTTTCCATCCCACGTTCCCGACCATTCTCCAATAATGACGGACGTCGATAACCTTCAGAGCCTGTGCTAACGCGATGCCCCTGTCAACATTGGTCAACACCACACTAAAGAAAGCCGATCGACACGAGTCATCAAGGTTATTCACATTTGCTGACACCAGGTATGTTTGTCTTCAAGGTACCTTGTGAGACGGGCGACATCTTGCGTCCTGCAAGGGCATACGTAACGACATCGTGCCGATCATCCTCCTGGGGAGTAACAACAGACCCCAAGAGACAATTAAAGAAAGTCGTAATCCGGCTCAAAGGTGCCGTGCTGAATGGATCCAAAACGGTTGCGCTTCGACGATATATAAGAAGAGCTCAATTGCGAAGTTTTGGGGGAGTCAGTTTGCGCTCGTTTCCCCAAGTTGAGCATGTTTCGCGGGAGCATCCAGCCAATCCACAAGGGTTCTCGTTGCCAAGCCAATCCCTGTCGGACGGGGTCAGATCGTCAGATGTCCGCGCAGGGGTTCTGTTTCCACAGGACCACTTACCGTCACGATAATCTTGGAAACAAGCAGTAGTCACAACTTGGCATTCGGCAGTATAGAGACACAGATCAGGGGTTCTCGTGTTTAACAACGCACTGAGGCGACTTTGGGCATGTCGCCATTTACCCTGATGGCCGGGGGTTCGGTCTCCGATCCTACGAACGGCCGAAGCCGGGGGCTTTCTTCCTAGCCTAGTTGCTCGCATCTTTTGAGCTGGGCACACGCAGCCACATTTCCTTCTTTCCTTCTTGAGTAAGTCGATGTTTACGCTCTATCTTCAACATGGCCGCTCCGAACGAAAAGACAAGTGGCATCCTGACTGAAGCTGCTCCTGATGCTCCAGCAGTTGGACAGCCTACAGCTGGGCCTAGCCAAGAGTTGGCGAATAGCTCCGAAGATGAGAAACCTACCCATCAGTTCAACGAACAGACATTCTATGTTCGTCCAAGGACTATCATCACAGTAAGTTAGGTTGTAGTCCTAACGTATTTGAACGCTTTCTGAGACTGATCATCACTGTCCAGATCTTCCTGGCTTGCGCCAGCGTGGATCTCGTCGCTCTCATGGACCAGACCACGCTCGCAGCTAGTCTTAACATCATCGGCAACTCTCTCAATGCCAGTAATCAGACAGCATGGATTGCCAGCGGATACTTCATGTAAGTACAGGCGATCATCTGTCGCAGCAGCAAGGTAATTGATTGATTCAACCAGAACATCCACTGTCGGCCAGCTCCTCTACGGACGACTGTCGGATATCTGGTCGCGGAAAGTAATCCTCCTCATTGGCTTGGCAATCTTCTTCATCGGTTCTCTCGCCAGTTCAGTCTCAAATACGGGGACCCAACTAATCGTCTTCCGAGCTTGGACGGGGATCGGAGGCGGCGGCTTGATGACCGTCGCTCAAATGATCGTGAGCGATGTGGTGCCGCTCAGGGAAAGGGGCAAGTATCAGGGCATCTTGGTAAGTCTTGCGCTACCTAGGAAGTCAAGGGCTTGAGTGAGAATATTATTTTTCCACGGGCCACGAAGATCATTGTTATTCTCTGCAATTGCTGACAGTATTCAAGGGTTCTGTAGTTGCTATTGCAAATGGAATAGGGCCAGTCATCGGCGGAGCTCTTGCTTCCCAGTCCAAAGACTCATGGAGATGGATCTTCCGACTCAACATGCCACTCACTCTTCTATGTACACTTTGCGTCATCTTCTTCATGCCGCTTAGGAAGGTGGAAGGCAACTGGAAACTGTGTGTGCCTATTCCTATCCGAACGGAACCTGGTGAATCCGGGACATTGCTAACATAATGTCCAGCAAGCTCAAAGCTGTCGACTTTGTTGGAAGCTTCCTTGCTTTGGCTGGAACAACCGTACTCATGCTCGGCTTGACGTGGGGTGGAGGTGACCATCCTTGGAACTCAGCGCACGTCATTGCCACTCTCGTAGTGGGATTCTTTGTCTGTATCGGCTTCATCCTTTGGCAGTGGAAAGGCGCCAAGTTCCCTCTCGTGCCATGTGAGTTTTGTTCATTGACTGTCGAGGGGTTGAAACTGATCGAGGCCTTTAGTACACATTTTCAAGTCGAAGATCGTGAATGGCGCATGTATCACCATGGCAATCAACGGGTGGAACTTTGTCGTCCAGGTCTACTACATCCCCGCCTTCTATCAACTAGCCTACGGGTACTCGGCAACGAAGTCCGGCGCCATGCTTCTCCCAGTTACTTTGACGCAGACGCTTTTCAGCACGTTGGCAGGTCTCGTAGTACACAAAATTGGGCGCTACCGAGAGTGCATCCTGCTGGGTTGGGTGATGTGGGCCGTAGGCATCGGTTTGATGTCGACACTCGACGAGTTTTCAAGCGTGGGGAAGCAAGTTGGATACTCGCTACTTGTTGGTGCAGGCGTTGGCAATACATTACAGCCGTAAGTGAAGAAGCCCGTGTCGAATCACTGACTCGAGCTAACTGACGCGCCTTCAGGGCACTGATCGCGATCCAGGCCGGTGTGAGTAGAAGGGACATGGCAGTGGTTACCTCGTTCAGGAAGTAAGTCATCTCCATATCGTCTCGTGTGGTAAGAGATAACTGACAATGCATAGCTTTATACGTAATTTCGGAAGCACTATTGGACTTGCCATCTCCGGAACCATCATGTGAGTCTACACATCCTTCCGACCCCACAAGTACCCACGATATCCTCCAGCATAACTGACTTATGCTTTGCAGTAATAACATCCTGGCAAGCAATATAGCTAGCCTTGGCCTGGGAGATGACGAGTCTCGGAAGCTGCTCGCGAATCCTCAGCAAGTGCTATCCAGCCTCCCTCAAGCTGAGGCACAAAGGCTCAGGGCTGCAATTTTGCCTGGCTACAGGAGGGCATTCCGTATCATCTTCCTGGTCATGGCAGGGCTTGCGGCCGTCGCATTCTTTGTAGCGTTCTTCTTGATGCCACAAGTAGAATTGAGCAGGCCTGACGATGCCAAGTTGAAGGAGGAGGCCCGGGGGAAGGATGACAAAAAGCCAGTCGATGAGACGGAAATAAAGGCTTGAATATTCCTGTAATTTCTCAAAAGCAAATACACAACGAGCTAAAGACTTCATGTTGAGTATGTGCCGATGATACTCCATCCGCTCGCTTAGACTCGAAATTCGAGAGCTGTTTCCAACAGTAATCCAATGATACGCTCTCTCTGGAGTTAGATCCTCACATCTGTCATACACTCTGGTATCCAAACGCACAAGCTTCGAAAAGATCCCTCTCACAATCCCGCTCATTTGCACTTCGCGCCGCAGTGGACGTGAGGGTAGTCATCGGGGCAAGTGCACCTGAGCCACAGGAACTTGTCCTTGCATCTTCCCATGGTGCAGGCACCGTTGTCGTCTGTGCAAGCAGTTCCCCCTGCCGAAAATGTGAAGGGTTGACAGCTCTTGGTGATTGCCGTGACAGTGCCGGCTGCGTAAAGTCCGGTGAGGATGAGGGACAGCTTCATCTTCTATCTTCAGGTCAGTACAGCATACTGTGGAAATTTATACCTCTTGGCGAATGACCTACGGAAAAGATTATTGGGTCAAAATCGACGGTTTATGAGACTGTTTGGACAGGTGATGTAAGGTTGACAGGCAGTGTAAACTCATAGCCTCAAGGAGACGCCTTCGTTTAAATGCGTAATGAGACTCACGTTACCAGATGTTAGCACCCAAGATTTTCGGTCATTAATTTGCCGAATCCAAGTCAGATAAACTCTGTTTATACGAGTTGTCGTGATCAGACTCATGCCATGGTCATTTCTGCTGTTCCCACCGTTGTCACTAACCAGGACCCAGGTTGTCAACGACTGGTCTTGTGGACCCATCTAGCGTTATGCTTCATCAGAGAGTGTGGGCTATCCGTATAATGATTCGAGATTATTTCGTCAATTGACAGAAATGTACATGTCGCCCAGCCCAAAACCGACGTCAACTGAATTGAGCCAGTTGCGAAACATGCTCAGTCATACAAGCTTCCTTCGATAGGCTTGTGAACCGGGCTATTTCCTTCTGATGCGTGGACACTTTCCCGCAACATTGAAATATCGACAAGGAGCGATCAGGGGATCAGTTGTAGGGTCCGCTGGAATGGTCTGTACCTACAGCAGAGTACTAGCTGCCACCGCACGGCGTAAGTTGCCGAAATCTGGTAACGCGACCCATCAATTGACTGCACCAGAGTCTTTGCGTCTGTGGTCCAGCTGGTCGCTCTGACTCGCTCACGGTACCAAAAACGGCTAAATATCGTATTCCCTGAAGTTCGCTCTGTTTCGCACAGTTCATCATTACTCCTGACCTTGATCAGAGATTGATGTAAGACGTAGGCATCTCCATAGACCCAAACCTTATTGTCCGCGTTACCGGTTGCGCGGCGCCATCCCCGGCACTGCCGATAGAACAACCACTACTCATGCCGCAAGTCAACACGATTGATCACTCAGTGTAGCGTATTAACCACTATCAAATACTTGGAAGAATTGGATGAAGCCCCAAGCGAAGGGAAGTTGCACAGGCCGCAACTGTAGTGGCTCAGTCACATATCGTCTGGATGTAGGTTGAT